AAGAGCTGATAGTTGCTATAATAGTTAAAATAGATAATGAAAAGGGAATCTGTTAACAATTTCAGTCAAATTACTTCGCTCTGAGCCTAGCTATCGGCGATACAATTATAGTCTAACCTCGATTGTCATTATCCATTTTTACTGAAAAATCCTGAGCGAAGTAATGACCTTTTGAATAATCATGTAATCTCGATAATGAACAGTGTCTTGATTATCCATTTTTAAATTATTAAATGGCGATTGTCTTTCAATCCGTTCAAAATCACAACCACCATATTGTCTAAACAGTAGATATGGGGCTTGTCATGTTAATAAATGTATAATTAATAATTTATATAACATTTGAGGTCAAATAGTTATGTTTAGCTCTTACGTAATGTAACTTTAAATAATATGATATCACGGTTGTCACCAAATGGATTGGCCTAGGTATCTATTCGCGAAGAAATTGACCTAGGTTGAATTTTGCGTTATTAATTCTTTTACTTAAAATTGGCATTGACTAGAAATCTTATTATCGCGACATTCTCACATCGGCAAGGTGAATAACATCTTTATAGTGTTCACCAATTCGTAAGATATTGCATAGAAATATATTAATTTGACCTGGAAAGTCCCCACATGTTCTTATTGGAATCTTCAAAGTAAAATACGATTAACTTTTTCTGTGATTCAATTGAGGAAACTGGGGGTAATATCGCATACAAAATGTTTCCTGATTTATTACCTTCGAGACATAAGATTTCTTACAGATGAGAAGTGTTACGGTAAAGATAGATGATACGGAACAAAAAAATCTTAAGTACAAATCCAAATGGATCTTTTCTATAAACAAAACCAAATGAACCCAAATAATGTCTTTTATATTTGCTATAATGTATATTATTATAAAAAATAATTTTAATGTACAAAATTGTCAAAATATTGCTTTCTACAAACTTGCCCTGTATTTGACTTTTTATCGCTCTGGGTTAATTTTCAGTGTGTCTAAATCTAGCGGGCACTAAATAAAGGTCAGATTCTGTACCAACTATAAAATACGCCTAAATTTGTATTTTATATTGTATATATTGTAAACTCCTTATCAGAAATTGAAGATTTTTCTTCAGAAAGGGCATTAAGGCATAAAATATACCAAACTGCTACTGCTATTCTTTTCCTAATGATATGTTTGCGCGCGGGGGGGGGGGGGGGGCAGGTGGGGGCGTGGTTGGGATAAGTCACGCAACCTGCAATTGCTGTAATATGTTTTGATGTCTGTTTTCAGTCATGTTACCTGAAATTTCTGTACGAGATATAGGTCTAATTCTTTTTACACTGGCTCACATGACGATAGTGTCATTAGGTGAATGTGAGAAGGTTCATCAACAACGTGAAATTCAGATACCAGGCTACAAAACCATACCAATCCATACGAACGCCTGTAAAGAGACCACAGCGGCCTATCTGGAACCAATGGTTGATCTAGGTATAGATTTAGGTCTAGGTTCTCAACATATTTATATTAAACGATATCATGATGGATGCTGCTGTGCCGTTAGAAACTCTAGTGAACATAGGGTATGTAATTCTTGTATCTTGTATGCACCCATATGTCGTCGCTATGTCCGTCGCACCCTCAACAATTGGCCTGCGAACGTTATAGAGACTACGGTTTTTTACGGATTCTTTTCAAATTTTATGTGAAGTGTTGTGGCTATGAGAGGACGACTCCTATCTTTTTTTTCAACGTTCTGCGACTTTTGTAGCAGAGTTATTCCCTGATTTCCGAAAACAATGTGAACGCGATATAGGCTACAGTTTTTTACGGAATCTTTTCAAATTTGGTGTGAAGCTTTGTGGTCATGAGATGACGAATCCTATCGATTTTCCTATCGTTCCGGTGTTATACTCCTTTGCAGACTACAGATTTCGACGGATTCTTTTCAGCGTTCTACAACTATCCGTTCCGGAAGCATTGGGACGTGAGGGGGTGAACCCTATTAATATTCAGTGTTCTGCGACCTTTGTTCTGGAGTTATCCCCCCCCCCCCTTGCCAAAACCCTTGTGAATGTGAACGCGATAGAGGCTATAGTCTTTAACGAGTTTCTTTCAAATTTGGCGGGAAGCACTGGGGTCTAAGAGAACGAACTCTATCGGTATTAAACTCAAGTTTTAATAATAAAAACCTATAGCTACGTTACGCTACTGTGATGACGCCATATATTGTGTATAATATGGTATCTACGACTTTGTTAAAATATTTGAATAAAAATAATATACGGATTTCATTCTATTTGTAGGTTTCAGTAGAGCGAGTAGATGGTAGAAGTTTTAGAAATATTAAATATAGAAGGATAGATTCGTGTAAATGTACCCAGTGTAATCTAACGACAGCTATAGCTAGACATACTGCTGTTGAATATATCGTCTGAATGGTGGACGTCACTAAAACTATGAACATCGTAAATGTGGAACGATTGTCGTAATGGCGAACTTTTACAAAATTTAAGGAAATACAAAATTTAAGGAAATACCGAAAATCGTTTTTGTCGCTATGTATGACTGAACTATTGGTGGGATGTGATGGTGATGGTATTGTTAATTGTAAAGAGAAGCTTTATATTGATATAATATTATTATAGTGTTGATTCCATGAATAATTATGTATGATACATGCATTGAAATAGAATAATAACAAGTTTGTCGCTCATGGTTGTTCTAATACTCGTATATGGGGCTAATAATATTATATCTAAAATCCGCCTTGTGGATACAATCTTTAACATTCTCTCGAGAAAGCTCCTGGTAACTGTTAGGAAACATTTTATTATTTAAGAGGAAAGTCAAAACTGCCCCAATGTGCCCATGATCTAGGTGGACAAAGCTTTTCTCTTTCAACACATATGAATAATTACCAAAAAAACCCCAAAAACAACGACTATCAGAAATTATTTTGTTTACATTTATTGTAAAGTCAAAAATGCCTAACTTTAAGGAGTTCATTGTTGCGCCCCAACAGCGTCATGTGAAATCTGAATAAGCAACTCCCAAGCAACATGGATGAAACCACTATAAAGAGATGTCTGAAATGCCTAAATTTGACCCTTTATGGGACCAAGAAACTTTATAAGTACAACCAAAGCAATATATAGCCAAATTAGAAAAGAAGACGAAAATGTCAAAATGTGTCTAGTATATGTAACCCTGTCATGTATTTCCCTATACTACCATTAAATAACAACATTTGAACACATTTTAATAAGCACAGCACAGGAACATAGCCATCAAATTTGGTTAAATTTCTTCCAGCGGGTAAGTTGTAGTCAACTATGCCGTAATACATGTGCCCCTTCAATTTGAGCCTGGGTGTCTGTATTTGAAACAATCTGAACAAGAGGTCACCAACATCCGGCGTCTTTGGGCATGCTTTTGAAGGTTGTCGTGTAGAGATAGGCAAACTCTACGTTATCGGTAATCAAAGAACTTTGTTAGCAAATAATATCAGGCACCCCATCCACATAACTTATGGTGGATACTCAAACTTGTTTCGGTAGTCATAGCTACAGTCATATGCCGATGTGTGTAGAAAGTTTCATACAGATATCTTCTTGAACAGCTTGAACGATCTCGGAGATAATATTATCCGGGAATAAAATCGAACCGGAAGTACGGACTAAGTCGATTTTAATACCCATATATTACTTAGTTCGGCGCGGGATAATAAGCGCCACCCAAGCCGACACCGGGATTCAGTGTTCAAAAAGGTTCTCGTAACTTCATCTGAACAAATGTTAATACGCATTTTATTTATTTTTTTGCCTTATCGGTTTTGTTTGCGTGTAGTGCGAAGCTCCGCACCATTTTTTCGTCCCGTTTGCTCCTACATGATTCTAACATAATGACCTGTGTGCCGTGTCCACGACAGTTGATCTAATAACCGGGTTACCCACCACACATAACAACCAAATAAGCCAACAGTGAGGCTGATGTCCCCCGCCGAAATCCCAAATAAATAGATGACACATATTAATTAATCGGACATCTATTTTTTTCAAAAGTATCGAGCAATCAAACTGATTATCAACTATACACTAAGTTTCATCACTCTCTATCATATAGAATCAAAGTTATCTTGTCCCAAAGCATCGACCAATGAAATTGCTTATCTCTGCTTAGCTTTAGCTCAATATGTTAATCATTGAACTCAGTCAAGACGAACATCTACATCAAGTTTAAACATTCTACCTCAATTAGAAGCAGAGTTGTTATGTTCCAAAGTCTTGACCAATCAAAATGCTTATTGCTCCTTAGCCTAAGCAGACAATTTTCATCATCGAACTTAGTCAAGGTATTGATGTAACGAAACTATACACCAAGTTCCATCACTCTTACTTAATTAGAACTAAAGTTATCGTGTCCCAAAGCATCAACCAATCAAATTGCTTATCTCTACTTACCATAAGCAGAAAATGCTCATCTTTGCACTCTATCAAGGCATTGACCCAATAAACACCATATCATATCATCAACCAATCAAATTGCTTCTCTCTGCTTACCCTAAGCAGAAAAAGATCATTTTCGAACTCCACCAAGGCCTGGACCTAATAAACATATACACCAAGTTTGAACATTCTAGCTCAATTAGAAGGAGAGTTATTGTGTTCCAAAGTCTTGGCCAATCAAATTGCTTATCGCTCTGCTTACCCTAAGCAGAAAATGCTCATCTTGAACTCCATCAAGGCATTGACCTAATAAACACCTACACCAAGTTTGAACATTCTAGGTCAATTAGAAGGAGAGTTATTTTGTCCCAAAAAGTGTGACGGACGGACAGACAGACAGACGGGCGAACCCATTTTAATAGTCCCCTGCTTTCTTCGAAAGGCAGGGGACAATAAAAAAACTGAGACGGGCACTGTAAGTAAATAATAAAAAATATTATCCAAACAAGTACAGATGCTAACTAACTGTATCTTTAAGATTTAATAGCAAATCCCCACATATAACACAAATGACATTTCATTCTCAAGTGGTTTATTTATAACAATGGTCCCAAATATCCTTTGTAATAGATTCAACAATAATTTCATTAGAACCACAAAGGGTTGTATACTCATAGTATATAATATATCTATATATAATATTTACAGGATACATGCTACCATAAAACAACATGTATAGATCATTTGACAAAGAAAACAAAAAACTGCAAATAAATAACCCAATAGCCAACCAAATATACAATCTGTATTTATGTTATATAATATTATACATAATATAACAACAAAGGGAATGTAGTGGCACAAATGGTGAATATATATTGTGTAGAAATTAATTATGTGCATCATAATTAAAATTATATGTAACAAAACTTTACCAATAAGACAAAACTTTCAATTAGATTAAAATGTCCAATGTCAGCAACCATAAAGGTAATAAACAAAAATAATATATGATCTTGGTTTGACATTTTCACATTAATATGTAAAAACTTTTTATATGAAATTAAGCACAACCAAAAATAAAAAAAAATATAACCTTTGTGAACAAAGGACTGGCCTGTTTGAAAAAGAGAGAATTGCTATTCACAAATCACTGTAAACAAATGGTCTTAATTCATGTTAGAATTGATTGATTTGAATTATTGTTAATTGTAGTATGCAAACAATTTCTTTTTTTTTTCTTATTTTTTTCATAAAATCAAAAAAAATATAACAAAGCCAAAACAAGCATTCTTTATTCCTTAACACTGAAAATTAGCATTGGGTTTTGTTTTTTGCGGGGGGGGGGGGGGGGGGGTGAGGAGGGGGGGGAGAGAGAGGGGCGGTATATGTATTACATATTCTGAAGTTAAAGTATCGCAGTAAATAAAATATAATTACTCTAAAATATACATTAATCAAGTAATCTTAAACTTGGTGACTTTAGTTATTGGCATTAAAATAAATCAATACCTTAATGTTTATTAGCACTTTTAAATAGTTGAATGTCAAAGTGGCATCCTTCAAAATTTGCTCTTATCCTATAAAAGTAATTCCATGCTTGTGTTTATTCAGTGTTCACCTTAAGTATACAATGTCTTGATATATGGGGGGGGGGCAGAATGGTTAGCGCATGTGCGATGTATCATAAGGTCTGTCATTGAGTCAACAGGCGTGATTTAGATTCCCCGGTTGTATGTGACAAGGAGTAGGGTCGCCTGTCCAACCTAATTGGTTTTCTCTGGGTCCTCTGGTTTCCTCCCACTGCTAAAGACCCCTACACACAAGCTAATAATTGAAATAAAATTGAACCATATGTTAGTCCCGAAATGACCTAGTTTGTGTTGAGTGGACGTTAAAACCCCATTTTTTTCTCTCTCTCTCCCCCTTGATAAATGTTCATAAAATTGCATCAAAATTGTAATATCACCTAAAATATTATGTACCCTTTGGCATGATCAACACCTCGAAACATTTCAACAATGAATGTTGAATTAGTTGCACATGGCAATTTTTAATTTTTACTTATTGGATGTTGAATCAGAATATAAAAAAAACAGAATATTCTTTTCTATAAGAAGCATGTGAAGTGTTTAAAAACTCTAATATTGTAAATATTGTTATAAAATTTGAATAAAGATAATTCAACAACTGATCACAGATACAATACTATTAACATGATAAAGCTATGACTATGTACAATTACAATATCTACATACACACACATACACATACAGAGTAAACAAATACATTACAAGTAGTTGAAGAAAATGACAATATTTTAGTCAGTATGAACCCTTTTTATTGTAACTAACTTTAAAAGAAGATGATAAAAGATAAAACTTAGTGGTGAAAGTCTATGCTCCAATATCTAATTCTTGACTATTGTTCAACTATTAAACAATTTATTATACTCTTCAAAATTTCCAATGTGCATCATTTACTGAACTTGCATATATAATTATTACACACCATAATCCAATTATCAATATGTTAAAATATAATTTCACAATATTAAGATAGCTTTCTGCTGATTTCAAATCATTTTTTTATTATAGCAAATAACCTGTGATACAAAAGTACTAGTTTTGAAAAAATAACTGAGAATTGGTATCATTTGTTTTACAGATAGTAAGCATACCATTCCTTGTGTAATACACCTGTTATAAACCAATAAAGCTATCATATTAAGCATTACATAAATATATTTCAATATAGTGGTCAAAAATTTACAAATAAATTAATTTAATACAATATAAAGTACAACTTATATAATTATAATACAATATAATGTACAACTCATGTAATTTATAATACAATATAATGTAATTAATAATATAAATTAAAATATAATTGTATAATTAACAGAAATACAGAATGTAAATAGACAAAAAATACTGTTCTAGTTATCAATCAAAAACAGTTTACCAGTACAATGTTTGAAATAAATATTTTTTGGACCATATAATTCAATCTAAAATTGCACAACACTAAAAAAAAGCTACAAAACAGGGTTTAAACCACAACTATTAAAAAACACTGCATATGGATAGATGAACACTTCATAATGAAGAACGAAAACATGTTTTTTTAAAAAATCAACGGGATTATATTTAATTCATATATTTATAAAAGTCAACACACTTTTTATAGTATCAAATAGCACTTTTTATCCATATAATAATAGTATATAAACCCAAACTGTTTTTCTCATCACTAACCAACAATTTCTTAAAGCCAAATATTTTATATTTGGTTAATTCTTGAACCAAATTTAAAACTCTAAAAAGACTCAAAGAGAATATTTATTTATAAATAATTAAATTTGTTTGGATTTGTTAATACATCAATAAAAGTTGATCAAACATTAATAACAAACTGCTAATTAAGAAATGTATTTAAGTCACTGATCGTCATTTGTCTTTTTCGGATAATATCTAATTGTTTGTGTCTTAAAGTTACAATTTCATATTTTCTAAGAAAGTCAAAACATAATTATTTCTATGTCTTTTCCTCAATAGGTTGTCAACTCACTATTATACGATCATAGGTTATCTTTCTCACACTTAAAAAGCTTCACACCGGAAATAATAACACAATTACCTCCCTTGTTTTCCTATTCCCCACCATGGAATAGCTATCTTCAAATATTTGAATTTGAAAATGATATTTTTGCCAATTTCTCAACTGGCTTTAGTGAATTATATGATTAATAGGATTATTCTTTAACAAGATAGGACTGTTTATAGATACCATCTATTTTAAAAATATAACTTAAAAATATGAAATTGTAACTTTAATCCATGCTAAAATATTTAACATCCATTAAGAAAACAAAATCAAAATATCAATGGTAGATAATCTCCTTCCATGAATTCTGTAGGATTCAAAAGAGGTGTATCAATAGATTGTAGAAAAACAAAAGTAGTGCAGGCATGTTTTTATACTGTTTATATCATCTACTGAATATTGACAAATTTTCAATTCATCATAAACACTATATGTCATTGAACTATATGTGTTGGAATTTCACAATACTGTAGTTCGCAAGTGATTAAACATTTTCTGAAATGACGATCAGAGACTAGCAAAATATGTATCGATCGGGGACCAGAAAAATATGTATAGTCAGATGCATAGCCTATACTTGAATTACTTTCGAATTTTTTTTTTTAAACAAGTTAAACATTTCTAATCAATAATATAAAATTGTCTATTACACTGGCTACATCACAATATGTACATAGTTTCAATTTGGTTGTTGTGACTAATTTTATGGCGATATAATTTGATTTATGAAATTAACAATACATGTAAACTTCTGTGATCTGTAATGTTTCTTCTTTAATGTAAAAAATTAATCAGACTGTGGTTTCTTCACCTGGACTAACTGGATAGCCTCGAACATATTGATCTTTAGTATGAAACGAATCTGAAATTATAAATATAGTCAATCATATTTAAAACTAGGTTTTAAATTGCTAGTAAAAAATCCAGGTACCGGTAATAGTCTGGAGTAAAAATTTAAATGAAATCCTCAAACCCATCTGTGTAAAGATTGTAAAGGAGTCAATGGTCAGAAACTTGATTCTCCAAGTCATTCAATCATACACTTTTACCTTTTGCAGTTTTAAAAAAGTAATTTTGTTGACCAATCCAAAATTGACCAACTACATCCAAGAATTTATTCTACATATTCACTACTTAATAAGAACATAAAGAAAGATTCAAACAAAATATAACAGAAATAATACAAATTTTAATTGGTAAGAACCAAGAGCATAAAGAAAGATTCAAACAAAAAATAATAGAGCTATAGAATTAATATATATTTCAATTGATAAGAAGAAAAAACAAAATAATTCATGAAAATTAATGTATATTATTCAATAGATTTTACAATAAACACAAAATAAAAATAAAGAAAAATACACAAAAACTAAAAAGCTACAAATTGAGATTGCAACTACATTATAGCTAAAGACAGATCAAAGATACACCCTTGCCAAACTCTCCACCAAATATTACCAACATTTCTATCTTCTATGAAATACCATTAAACAATAGTGAGAATACAGAATAAAAGCAAAAGAGATGACACCAGAAACAGAATACAGATTGAGTAAACAATAGTGAGAAAAGAGAAGAAAAGTAAAAAAGAATACATCACCAGAATATAGAAAATAGATTGACGTCATACTCCACAATTTTATATAAGGTGCTATACAGTTCGTGTTTGTAATAACTAGGTATATATATATATATATATATATATATATTTATATTTATATAAGATAACTAAGTACAAAGGAAGATGGTGTCTTGACTCTTTCCCTTGACCCTCAAAATAGCCATAAAGAAAGTAAGGGAAGGGTCAGACATTTTTGTCTAAATGGAGGAGTGATGTGTGCTGGGATCATACCATTGAATGTTGCAGATACCATTATACCTAGGTGTTAACATTCTATGTATATTTATTAAATGTCACTGAAGATGGTGCTTTTAATAAGTTCCCTAGTTCATCTTAGAAACTTCTTGTTGATTAATTGAAACATAAAATTCAATCTACCAAGTTTGAAACAACTGGATTCAATCTCATAAAAGAGATCTTTACTCTCTTTCAATGGGTGGATGTATAAATCAAATGATTTCTGACCATTTAAACCCCCACACAAAACCCCCCAAAACAACAGCAATTGAATGAGGAAACAAATGCTTAAAATGATCACAGGTGTTTTTTCATTTCATACACACAAAATCCCATATATATAATTTCTACAATGGTGCTAATAATATTAGTGTTATAAAGATTACATTTCCCATTCTAGCCTACTGATTATGACCTGTTAGTTTACACACACATATGATATAATAGATGGGTTGGTTCAGCCAAGCTTACCTTTGTATATTATTTTCTTTTGCCTATTATATACACATAGATATTATTTTATCATATTTTTCAAGTTAATGTACATATAAATAGACATTATATTAAAGGAACACAACAGTATTACAGGGAAATAATCTCCTAGAATCACATTATCTGAAACTTTTGAGTTGAACCTAAGCATTGTAACTTATCTTAATTCATCAAATTTTAATGGAATTGGGTTTGATCCCTCATCAAAACCATATTCCGGTCATTTTTTCCTGGATAGCGATTTTCTAGACTACTCTTTTCGAATTTCAACTGCCAAGGGTTCTTTTATGAGCAAGCTAATGTGTACAGGAGTAAATGTAGGTTTTCAGTATGATCCAAAAAACTAGGCATACATCCTTTCACATTTTAATATACTACACTTTATTTTGTTTCGTTTCTGGATTTGAGATGCTGCAGTTTACGTAACAGTTCTTTTAAAGGATAGGCATTCATTACCAATATTTTTGAAATCTCTTGTAACATGAGTTGTGCCCCTTTAAAAAAGACGATGTAAGACAAAGTTACAGTCATTAGTGGACAATAACTGTATTATACATTAAGAAACATTAATCTCAAGCATTATAGTCTGTAATATAAATGTGAAATAAAACTTACCATTACTTCCTGATGAGACAGAAGGTGACATATTTCTACGTCTGATTGGTTCAAGATATGTGGACGGCACCCAACCTTCTGTTCCTTCAGTCATGTGACGAGCAAACCACCAACCATTGGTTCCAACTCGCAGTATCTCTACGATATCTCCATCTTTTAAACCTATTTCAGAGACATCTACAGGGAAATAATCAGCTAAAGACATGAACTGCTGACGGAAAGAAGGCTGAAAAAGACATTTTTATCTTAAAACATTTCACTATTTATAATTCCAAGCTCAAAAGCACAATCACAAAATACTATTACATGAAGCACTAATTTATTGTTATTTGTCTTTTATAGTTCTTTAAGAGCCTTTGGTGGCTCTATGAGTATGGTGCTGGGGTTCCCAGTTTCGATCCTGGTATTGGCAAAGAGAGTTTCTAGAATTTTCATGGTTTAGTTTCTCCTTGACAGTGGTACATGACAGAGCTTGATGGGACGAAAAATGAAGGTCCTGTATAGCATGTTAAAGTTCCCCTTTTTTTCTAGCCATGATCAATTATTACTGACCTCTATTTTAGGAATATATCTCTCGGGTTCTTCTTCGTCTGTAGCCGAGAATTCACCACTAGACCAACCATCATCATCCTGGTACTCTAATGGTGGACCAGTTGGTGATTCTATAGGTGATACCATACCTAAACCTTGTGGTACTGTGCAGGTAGTAGAGTTATTATTATGATGTCGCCAACTTTCAAACCTTAAATAGAGAGAAAATTGGGTATAACGTCAACTCGACACAAATTTGATAATTTTGGGACTAACATATGGTACAATTGTGAGTAGAGGTGTTTGGGTTGGATAAGCGACCCTACTCCTTGTTATATAAAATCTGAAATAATATGACCGTCATCTCTGTCTGCAATATCACCCTAGGTGGAAGCGGATGTAAAACCCCTTCTAGAAGAAGAAAAGACCACCATCATAATATTCAAATAATTATGTTACCCAATTTTGGAGGAATTAAGATATATAGAAAATATTTTCTATTGTGAATTGGCAATCACTTCAAATCATTGGATCATCTTAAATAATTTAATATTAGACAGAAATCTATTTATCAATGAAATTCTGTGGTACTGTTTCTGATCTAATTAAGAAATAACATGTAAACAAATGAAATGAAATGAAATGGGGTTAAACGTCCTACTGTTCTGCTCCGACTGGGCTAATGAAGAAAGGCATCCGCTATACAGTGTGCTATGAGGGAAATTTTGTCCAGGCAGTGGCACTATGGCCTTCACTTATATCGAATTCCAAATGCCAAGGGATCTTTTATGTGCATGGCAATGTATAGATGGGACCTTGTTTTTTTTTGTCTTATCTGAATGACTAGACAGCTGTTCTTGTCAGACCCTCTGTACTGCACTACTGACAAGAAGAAACCATGTCGGAAAATCCTGATAAACTTTCTCGGCAAATGCAGGGATCGAAAAAGCAACCTTCAGTCCAAGCTTGTGAACCAGCGCCTTATCCACTTAGCCACCAAGGCTCCCCAACATGTAAACACAGTTCATTATATATTTAGCTTACCCATAAGAAGGAGCATCATATTTAGGTCCTCGACCAACATCTTCCTGAGATAACCGATGTTGATTATGTGGCGTAACTGTAAAAGTTAAATAATAAATAAATATATTTCAAACATAAGCATATCAAGAGAATTGAATGTACATTTGGGGTCAAGAATGCAAAAAACTGAAAAATCCAGGTGGATGAATTGTCTGCTTAAAGTAGCCAAGTCTTTAACTCAGTTTTATCAACAGTCGCCGACATTGCAAACACGACTTATTGGTCAATTTAAATCAAACTTGATGTTGTTATCTAATAACTTGAAAAGATGGGCTTCTGGCACACAAATTACTGAATAGTCTATGGAATGTAATGGGGCTTAATTAAAGTCTTGTCAACACAATACTTTGGTCATTTTGGAGCTATCATATGGTCATTTTCATTTTTATGATTACAGTGTGCAATGTGATCGTGGAGAATTTTGATTGGACAACCACACTGCTGCATACTATTCAGATTCCAACTGCCAAGAGATTGAAAAATAAAACATTTTCAAGAGTCACCTTTTACTTTTACCTTGATGTAAAGAAATTGCTTACCTTTGAGCTGATCAAATTGATTAAGAAGAACCTTCTTGATTTCCTTTATCCATATTTCTTTGGATTCTAGCGTAGGAGCCTAAAATAAAACAATATTTACCATGTAACAATATTCAAACTATTGTTAAAGACATAAAAAATTTCACAAAATATAAAATCTATGATGGAGTTTAAAGGTGCACTTGACACAAACTAGGTCATTTTGGGACTAACATATGGTTCAATTTCATTTCAATATTTCACTTGCACATAGCAGTGCGAGGAAACCGGAGAACCGGAAGAAAACCAATTTGGTTGGACAGGCGACCCTAATCCTTGTCATGTACAAGCGGGGAATCGTAACCATGCCACTTGACTCAATGACAGACCTTATGATACAACGCGCACACGCTAACCATTCGGCCATAAAATTATAGAGACAAAATAATTCTGATATCACGTTATACCAAGTACCTGAATGATATAGACTTCTTCCCGTCCTCGTGACCATAATTCAAACTTCTTCTTATCACCTTTTACTGTTTCTGTTAAACCAACTTGTGATAGCTGTAATAAGATATATATATTTAACAAAGTATAAATAAATTTCATGGAATACAAAAGCAAAAAACGGATCATGTAGATTAGAGATTAAAGACTTGATGCATCATTTGCATTTTCGCTAATGAATCAAATATCTCAAGGCTTAATTCACGCCAAATAATATGTACTCCGAGGGATTATTTAACATTTAATTAAGAAAACAAAATACCAACGTTAAAGATACATTATGGGAGATAAGATAAAGAGATGGCAGTTCTCGCTATAATAGTTAAAAACAAGATAGTGTAAAGGTAATTCGCTGAAAATTTCAGTAAAATTGATCCACTATGAGCCGAGAACGAAGCAGGTGAAATTTTTGCATAGTCTCGGTCATCATTACTAAAATCATTAATATAAACAGCATAGTCTCGATTATCCACTGTTTTGATTTAATTATCAATGGCCGTTAAGCAGCATATAGGAATCTAATCCAGCCAACATCGAAGGCTAGCCTTGACATCGAGAGTTTATTATGGTCTGAATAAGTTAATTAATGTCTAATTGATGATTTAGATAACATTTCAGGCCTAAAGAAAGACTTGTAATAAGCAGATTTTGCTCTTGCATAATGCATGTTTAAATAATCTCCTGGCTTGGATTCAATCGGATTCAAACTAGGCCACAATAAAAGATGGCACAGCCTTGTTACTTGTGAGAAACAGATTGATGAAATTTTAATTTATCATAACTTTGTAAACACTATCATCAGCATGTTTTAGTTTGCAAGGGATTCCTATAGTGAAAAATGATGCATGAAGCTTTAAACCTTTGAATTGTCATACCAACCTTGATTTTTTTCTTGAAACTATAAACAGCTCCATCATGCTGAGATTCTTCACGTTTTTTACAGAATAAAATGGATTTTTCATAAAGGAAAACATGACGTCGCATAGCTTTAAACCTAAGATCTTTTAATTTCTCTTTCTTATGATCTGTCCAAACATTAAAACTAGCATGCATCAACAAACGCCCTTGATCAGACATACTTTCCTGAAGAAAAAGAAAATTAAAAATATTTTCTTAACTTCATCTTTTTGATAATATACTGGTATTTTTATTGGTTTAAATGATTTAAATAACTCTTTTGAACATTTTTTTTTAAGATTTATCATAAATAAAACTTTTATTAAAAAAAAGAATTTCAAAAGTAGATAAATATAAGAATAATGCAATGTCAAGCAACATATTCAACAGCCCCTCAACCTCTGTTCCAGTTAAATAAATTCAAAGTGACAAAGTAACAGATGACATATACACAAGCTATCTTCTGTTCCTCACTTCTATTTATAACCACTGATGTGTGACATGTAATGTGAATAAATTACAACCTAAGGTGTGCTGCAGCAACATCACACAGGTGCTTTTCAAACAAACACATTTTTAATAACCAATATCACATATATTATGTTATTGCACGTTTAACTCGGCATATTGTGTCCACTCTTTTAAATTAGGTGCAATATCATTTCTTATTGAATTAGCTAAAGTTCAATGATTTAAACAAAAAATCAGCTATTCCATAAATATCACATGCATTCTACAAAGCTATTATATGAAGGTTATTAATGTACCGGTAATTCACATGTTTCCAGTCGAACCTACAATCCTAACAAAACGGATACACATCATGCTTTTTTTTTTTTATGTCACTAGCAGTCGTGCAACTAATATCGCGTAGGTTTTCTTTCACCAGTAGCTAGAAAAACATTACTTACATAATTCAAAACATAACCATTTCAAATGATATTTTACTAATCAAAAGATTTCCCCAGATTGGTCCATTGACCAATTGCATTGGCCAAAATGACCATGACTCACGAATGTGCCAATTATAGATAAAATACTGGTATACATTATGCTTATCTAAATTAAGAATTATTATCAGATCATTTGGCATTGTGATGTATTCAAACAAATTCATTATTTTACACTTGCTTGTGGGTCTCATCTTTGCGCGTTGTATATCATAAGGTCTGTCATTGAGTCTACTGGCATATGTGACAAGGAGTGAGAGAGAGAGAGGAATAGGGTTTAACGTCCACTCGACACAAACTAGGTCATTTCGGGACTAACACATGGTTTAATTTTATTTACATAATTCGCGTGCGCGTAGGGGTCTTTAGCAGTGGGAGGAAACCGGAGGTCCCGGAGAAAACCCACGAGGTTGGACAGGCGACCCTACTCCTTGCCACGTACAACCGGGGATTCGAAACCACGCCAGTCGACTCAATGACAGACTTTATGATACAGAGCGCGCACGCTAACCATTCAGCCATCCAACCCCCCGTGACAAGGAGTAGGGTCGCCTGTCTAACCACGTGAGTTTTCTCCACGTCCTCCGGTATCCTGCCACTGCTAAAAAAACCTACGTGAAAGCGAATTGTTGAAATAAAATTGAACCATATGTTAGTCCCAAAATGACTTGATTTGTGTCAAGTGGACGTTAAACCCCATTTCTCTCTCTCCCCCTCATCTTTGTCAGATTAATTTTTTTATCAAACCTAACACAAATAAACCTGTACAGTATTAGTAGAGAAGAAAAAGGTTTCATGTTAAATTTGTATGTTAACTTGTTGATAAACTGGGAGATACAATTTTTTGAATTAATATTAAAAAACCCCACCAAATTTAATAATGAAATCAATCCTAAATATAATGTATGGTAATTTAACTATCAAACAAGGATTTCATGTAGATATAAATAGAAAGAATATTGAAAGATGACTAACAGAATGAAAAAAACAATATGATTTACATAAAGATAACAATAGATAGATACTTACATTAAAATCAACAATAGAAACCTGATGCATACTATCATTAAGATAGCGTAATACACTTAACATAGTATCTAAAGCTTCTTGTATTTGACTCTCTAACACTGGATTTTCGGCAGTAAACCGTAACATTTCCTAAGGTAAAAATAACTCATTTTAACACGCTAAATTTTTAATTCCAATAGTACCGTAGTAAAAAAAAAGTGTAACCATGACAATTTCAAAACACATCACTTTTCTAATTCTGAAAAACATACATGCAATGTATATTTTAATTGAAATACGATGGACTTGGGTACAGAAAGCCTATCACTTGCATGGCTGCCGGGGTTACAAAAATTGAGCTGTAAAGGCACTGGTCTCAAGCCTAGTCCCCACTTGATAGGGTGGCACATTCAGGGCAGACAAGTAATGTCTTGCCTAGTTGTTGGGATGAAAACAGAGGTTCATCCAAGTACTGGTACTCATTAATGCGCAAGTAAAAGAAGATTTGTTATTTGGAATTTGAGAAATAATATGTGGCAATGATGTGAACCGGCAAATTTCTCCTCCCAAGCACTGTGATCACAGAAAAAAACCCCAAATTAAATGCTATTATCAAAATGACTGAAGTATTGTGTTGATAAGATAAACTCCTTTCTTATAGTTGAGAAAAATAGCCAGCCTAATCACAATGTAGATTATGAGTAGTCAGGTATTACTATGAAAATTGTGGGTGCTTCACTATTTTTACTCTGCATCTGGCATGGTAGTTTGGTTGCAATTATTTTATACATTTATTTCCATTTACTTTCAGGTAAATAGAATGTTAAAGACTGTTAGTAAATTCTTGTATATACCTTTAACAATAACTGGTATTTTGTGATTCTCTGTACAGGTTTCAACAGATAAGCTCCTAATGGTAATTTATGACCTAACTTTCTCTGACACTCCTAAAAAAATAACATAAAAGGTGAAAACTATATAAATTTTATTAAAAACAGAAAGATTGAAATATATTATATATTATAAACCCATAATATAAAAAGAGCTTAACATACCTTAAAACAAGAATTTGAATCACCGATTTTAGCTCTCAAAGCTTCTGACTTGGGTTTATTTTGACAGTATGTACTATAAATCTGAAATTCTAATTTCTGAAAAATGAAAATAAATTTTACTGTTTAGAGTGCAGATAAATGCCTGACAGTCAAAATTTGAAGTGGACGCCCTGTGATAAAAGGTCTACAACTGGTTACTGATCTTGATTATTTCACTGAAACAGGGATTTATTTTCTAATATCGAAATCGCATGATTGTTAGTTGTGCAAAACTTGTCATTGTAAATGGTATAATCCAAGTAATTAGTTAATTGATTTTAACTATATCCAAAGATGCTTTTCTTTTTTGAATTTCGACGCACTCATTACAGTTATGCAAGCCTACTGTCATTGATTTAAAATTATATCATTACACATTATAAATTTTGGAGGTCTCAAGAAACTGGAGGATTAGATAGAGAAAAAGGTAAAACATTTTTAAAACTGTCCGAAATATGTATTAAATACTTACTCTATTTACAAAGCACTTTCCAACTCTAGCTGGCATATCTCTACAATTCTGTAGTTCCTGAAGAAATGTACTGCAAAAAGAAACCCCAATGTTTAAACAATAATAAATATTAATGATGTGGCAAAAAGTTTTAGTTTATAATAAGAAAATATACACCATATTGTTTTCATAAAAAATCAGGTTTTTATATGCTAGGGTATAACACTTAAAATCATTCTACATTACTGAAACAAGACTTACTTGCTGTGAAAGTTGTAGATTTCTTCTAAATTACCAAAAAGTACATGTCGTCTACCAACTAAATCGGGCGGAACTAAATGTTGCATATGTCGTTTATCCATTTCAAAATAGTAACCCTGAATGACAATAATAAATAAATTAATGGTGCAATTACTGTATTATATCTCTGTGGTATTGAAGTTGATGAGGATAGAAACAATAGTGTGCCAAGTAGGCTTTAACACCGCTGTTCGGTGTGGTTGGTGCAAAAGTGTAAGACACTAAACCCTGTTTCATTTTATTTCACCACTAAGGTCTACTTCAAAAACATCGATTTAACAAACATTGATTAAAAGATGAAAGCTTTGTGTAGATTTATTATTAGTAATAAAACATTACCTGTAATATCTGTTCTAATTCTCTAACATAGGAAAGTTCTGTATCAATTAATTCATTCATAACACACCTAAAAACAGACAGGTTAAGGTTTATATCATTGACAAACAAAACTCCATAATATTTAATATGGTTAACCATAGTTAATATTTTATCAACTGCCAGTAGATATTATTACCTTGTTTCTGACCATTTGATTTAATTTTGTTGTTGAATTACATTTTAACAAAAAAATTCTTCTATGATCAAATAAAGTTTAATACAATGTTAATTTACCTTTGTTTAGCCTGTAATGAGTCTATTTCAGGTAAAGAAGAACCTGACATGGATGACAGAGAACTACGTTGTGTATTAGAATCTGTCATATCTACATAGCCGCTACTAGCTATACTACTTGATTTACTACCATAACCTGATGAAGCTGGGTATGTAGATAAGTGATCATTTCGAATCTATAACAGCAAACATATATTTTACTATTATACCATCACAAGAGATATAATATTTTAATAATATAGAAATCATACCTGTAATTATATAACTCTTTGTTATATCACCAAATTTCAACGAAATCTTACAAATATTCTACAGGTCAGAGTTTTCAAGATGTTTTTTTCAAATTTGCTCGGATTGTATGGTTAGACCTAAGGAAAAAACCTTATTGAAATTCAGAGTTACTAAATTATTTACTGTTTCCGTAATTCTTGTAACATACAAATAAAATAAACATTAATGTACCTGTAAAGATTTATCTAAAGATGTATTACTACGTCTTGTGTCACTCTTTCGTTTAAATTCTTGGTTAAAGTTGCCATGGTCACTGTGGGCTGGTTCTGGGTAGACATGTTGTACTGGACGTGTATTGGGATGTCGCGTTAATTTCTGTATACTTTCTTTTCTCTTAGCAAACATACCTTGAACATCATCCATTCGTTTTAAAACCTGTTGTACCGTATTCTAAAAGTACAATAAAAGATCCAGTTATACCCACATACACAATTACTAGAATTACGATTAAACCTATTGACAACTCTTTGGTACAGTATGAAAAGTCTTGTATGTGAGGCAAAATATTACAAAGATTATTTAAATATTTTAGATACACTTTCATTTTGAGTATTTAATATTAGAGAATATTTATATTCTGCTATAAAATTTTATACCAATTCTTGTCTAAAATAAATAAAATAACTTGTAGGTATAATTTCATAACAGTTTTTATAAGGCAGCCTAGCTATATAGGTAATTTATTCAAACTTTTGGGGATCAATAATTAATTTACTGGTGGTATAAATAATATATACAGGGTATAGATTTCTCATTATGGGCTGTCATTTACACAAAGGTCATTAGATTTCAATAAAAGTAATTGGTTCAAAGTTTTACTTAAAGTTTCAAGTGATGTCTGGTATGGATAATTTTTCTGTAGTCTCGATTTCTACTTGTGTTTGAATTAATGTTGATTTAGTGATATGAGAGAATTTTGTGTATTATTCAAACAAAGGGCTCTGGTCATTTTGATGTTTTCCGAGTTACTGATTTGTTTTGTATTATTAAAATGACCATCTTTGCCCTTAACCCTCAGTTATGTGCGAGAATTCATAATAACTGATACAACATCATGAACGCACAGTATCCGTTGTAACAATGTTGCACCTACTTACAAAATAATAATAAATAATATTATGTAATAAGTGTATTACCAGTGTGTGAAATAACACGGAAGCATATTTCATAATAACATAGTAATATTGTGTATAATCAAATATTAAACATGAAAAGTTTAATTATTCAGTTCTTTATTATCTCCTATAAATCTCATAAAATACTTGACTGCATTTTATACAGGAAAATTGCTGAAGCTTGACCTATGTTTGTGTAGTGATTACCCTATTTGGTTTAAAAACACATTATCACAATGATGGTTTGTTACCGGAATGCAGACAGACTGTTAATTTGTTAATTAATCATAAATCTATACTCTGTTTAAAACTCGTCACTCAGTTGGGCTAGAAAATGTTATAATGTGTAAATCATTGCATTTTATCCTACAACGATCAGATTCAATTTCATTATTGGCTAGGAAAGTTTCTCAAGTTTTCATAGCCTGGTTTACCCTCATTTTTGGTGCAAGCAGGGGTGGGGGGATGCTGGCAAGAAAATGTGTCCAGTAATTTGGAATAGATGGAAAACTGAGGTTCCGTTTACATGTTGGCATGCATGTAAAAGATGCCTTGAGTATGTGGTTCAAAATGTCCCTCATACCACACCCAATTTTCTTTTTTTATCCGTCTAATAGGCCTTAATTAACTAGATAATTGCTTTATAAATGTCATGATAATTAATATCAATTAATAAATATATTATGGATATATTAGTTACTTTCAGTTCTTTTAATATGGCCGTAGAATGACAATTGACTTGTGTTTATAATTTCTCATTAATTTCTTAAAATATGAATGCCGTAATATACCAACCCTAGTTTCTGGTGTCATCATGTCTTCAAACAAGGCTCGAAATTCTCGTGGATTATTTAGTTTTAATTCACGTGTTGTTGCTAGGAAGGATTCTATATCTCGCAAAGAGCGTTCTGCTCCATGGGTCGTTTGACAACTTTCTAATGGTTGACTTGCCAACAGATCAACCCCTCGTGTGCACCATTTGTTCGCCTGTATAATTGAGAAACAAATCATAAAAACAGTCAAGATGCATGAGAAATAAAACTTGGATCATTGCCATATTATTGTCATAATCATTTGTGCATCAATGCATGTAAAAAGCACTCAATGATTTGTGCTGGGCTTCAAAAAAAAAAAAATGATAACCAGAAATGAGTTGTTTCCCTTGGTTCACTGACAGTCATCTACAAAGGAGAAATTAATTGTTTTCTTCACTTTATCTAATGCATTAAGTTTACATAAAGTTTTAAAAAGTATCCCTTCAATATCATAAATATAAAGCAGGCCACTGTAAATGTAGTAAAATATAATGGAGCAACAAAATGGATACAGATCACCAAATATTTCTACGCCGTCACACGAAACAAGGGCCAAAGTTATTTTTAGTCTCTCTCTCCCTTTCCCTTTTTCCCCCTTTTGCATGGCGATTTTTGTTGACTTTTTGGTGTAGAATCGAAAAAAAAGGGTTTGAAAATACATTTTCTGCCAGGTTTTGGTGAATATTCATGATTTTGAGGCGGAAGGATACAAGAGTTGTGAGGTTGGTTACGTTGAAATGTAGGGCTGGAAATTGCATGTTTACTTGTCTCTACTTCTAGCTTGTGTATCTCAAGTTTTTCATGGTGAACCTCATACATGCTTTTGGGCAAGAGTTTGCCACATGTTGCTCCATCTGTGGCAGAAAGCATTCTACCCAACGAAAATTTGGGAAAAAGTTAGAGTCGGTCTAAGAGACAAGAATTAACATTTAAGTCAATGTGGAAATAATTAGTGATCTGTGGCCAAATAACCCCCAAAATGCAACAGAGTTACCTCCCTTGACACAAGTGCAATGTATTTTTAATATTCATTATCAAAACAAATAATACCTGGTTAACTTTGAATTGAACAAATCTAATTAAGCACAATCCTGGCAATATGTTCAAAATTTTGGTGAGGGAGATAACAGTGTCTTAATTTATCCCCTTAATGTATCTTGCCATCCTGAATACTTGTATCATAAATGCAATTCACACCTTCTCTTATTCAAAATCATTTCTATCTCTTGTTTACAGTATTTTTAAAGAAAGCTTGCCTAATTAAGAGCACATCAACTGTACTTATAGCCAGTGGTTACTATATACACTTTACAACACGTTAACAACTGAATTTAAATACGGTTTAACGTTACTAAAATGACACAATGTTTTTAAAACAAACTTTGTGAAATAAATTCCCATGCCATATGTGATTCATTCTATATTAATTTGAATTTACGTGTTAAATAGGCCAGATAATGGTGTTTGAATAATTTTGGTTGAATTTAAATTTTACAAATCATAAAGATATCTTTGTACATGTAAGTAGACGACAAGAAAACCAAAGGTATCTGTTGCCTCTTTTGAAAGATGTTCTTAATGAAAGAGAACAAAGCTTTGTTTTATTTGTTGACTAACTGCTAACCTTAATTGATAGGATGTCAATAATGGAGGGTAACGATTGAATTGTGGGAATAGAACTGTAAATTTGTTTTCTGAAATTAAATGAAATGAAATGGGGTTTAACATCCCACTGTTCTGCTCCAACTGGGCTAATGAAGACGGGCATACAAAATACAGTGTGCTATGAGGGAAATTTTGCCAGGGCAGCAGCAATAGGGCCTACTCGAATTTCAACTGCCAAGGGATCTTTTACGTGCATGCCAATGTATACACAGGGCCTGGGTTTTTTGTCCCCTCCAAAAGACTAGACAGCTGTTCTGCACTACTGACAACAAGAAACCACGCCGAAAAAATTTGTTTTCTGTTTGAGTCTTCCGAAACATTCAATCAAGTTATGCCGCAGATCATAACCAATGTTTATTTCAAATCACCATTGTGGTTTTAAGTTGACAAATCAGGATTTGAATAATTTACAAAGTCTTTGTAAGACTAACATAGATAATGTGGCATTAGCAAATTTACTCTAAAATGTTATAATCTATAACACCGCTAGACTAGGTCATAATTAGTACTATGAAGCGCGTCATCAATCCACATCAGCTTGTGTATTCAGTGATGCGATGTGTAGTTCCTGTGACGTCACACGCCAATCAATTGGATTAAGGCTGTAATCGAAAAATTGAGAAGTATTTTAGAGGGCCTGACACATAAACCCTCATATACCGAATAATTTTAATTAGAATGGTGTGCAATTGGTTAAAGTGTTTATAATAAACACTGGCTACAAGTACATGCAACTTTTTCATATGGCCATTTGATGTGCTCTTTAACAATAATCGGTCATGGTTATGAGCAATTTTGGAAAAGAGCTTCTCCATTTCCAGTAAAACATTTTGTGCATACCTTATCCAGACGGTCATGCAAATCATGTGATTTGTTGAGAATTTCTTGTCGTTTGCGCATACATTCTTTGTACTGTTCACACATTCTCTGTAGTTCTATACATTTAGGTCGTATACAATCTACAGCATATGTATCGTCTAATATCATTTGGTCACTAGTTGCCCTCATTCTTTCTGCTGATTCAATGTCTTTCTGAAAATATAAAATACAGTTGGTAAGGGTAACTGCACAACAAAACACAGATAGAAAAAATAGACATGAATTCTATATGTACAATTCAACATAATAAAAAAAATATAAATACTTAACGAAAACATTAATATTCCAGGTCCTAAGACAAGTATAAATTATATCATATATGAATACAAAATCTGTAATGGATAAGGCCTACTTGTTATTAAGAATCCTCGTCAGGATAAGAAAAATGCTTCCAATGTGTTCCTTATATGATCAGATACAGTTTGAAATAACTTGATGCAATACCCTATTCATTCATGCACAGTTATCTGAAAATTATGTTCATGTTTTTGTTCTTTAAAACTGCCACTGCTTTTTCTTCAAAGGAATAACAAAGTCTCCTTTCCAATAAATAAGATTTCATAAAATAAAACAATAATCTCCCGTAATATGGAAAAAATATAGACTTTCTATAATTTATTATATTATTATCATAAAAACTACGTTTGTTGACTCTTTGGTCTAGCACAGAGCAAAAGTGTTAGAATTTACAATTTCTGTCCGTTTTTTTTAATATTGATGATTTAGAGGTGGAAGGATAACAGTAATATGGAGGGAAGATAATTACATGTTTACTAGTATGTTACTAGTAATCAATGGGTCACACTTTTCATGCTCAACCTCATGTAAGCCTTGGAGCAGGACATTTCAAGATTTGCCCAGTAAAAATTTCGAGCCAGGCAAAATGACATTGACATTCAATAGGGAAAAAGTTTTGTGGTCTGCATCCAGAATCCAGGTAGAATTATCTCCCTTCAAAGACTCCACGAAACTGACGTGCTATGAGAGCATACATGTGACATTAGTTCTGTCACCTATGTCGTGATAGGATATTAGTTGTTTCTTACTAAATATAAAATAGAAAAGAGAACTTTATGATGGCACATGCATGTAGAACTAGAAAATTACGGGTTAACCATGAAGGACAGTACGACTACAAGCCATGTAAGGAAGGTTGAATAGAACAAACAGCCTGTCTGGATTATATGATGTAGGAAATATCAATTTCCCAAAAAACGTCTACATTTCGAATGTTTGGTAAATGCAGTTATTTGAGACAAGTAACACTTTTAGTAAAAACAGGACTCATATCAGCAACATTCTTTGAAACACTAAATGTAGCCTACCATATAGGCCTACGGGATAAATATTCTTAAACTTCATGTATTTCTAATTATGTAATTTGGTTATAGTTTACAAGTCATTATAAATAAAATGAAATGGGGTTTAATAATGTCCTACTGTTCTGCTCTGAACTGGGATATGTGGGAAATTTTGCCTGGACAGCGGCACTGGGGCCTACTCTTACATCAAATTCCAACTGTCAAGTGATCTTTTACATGCATGCCAATGTGTACACGGGACCTCGGTTTTTTGTCCCATCCAAATGACTAGACAGCTGTCGCTGTCAGGCCCTCCGTCCTGCATCACTGACAAGGGGGAGCCACGCAGGAAAATCTGGATGAACTATGTCGGCCAATACAGAGATCGAACACCTGACATCCAGGATAGCGAGCCAGCGTCTTACCCACTTAGCCACCGCGACCCCCTACTAGTCATTAGAAGCTTATAGAGTAATATATAAAACTTCCTGGATCCAGTATCATTTTATTGATATTTGAAACTAAATACTATATTGAGAGTAAGACATAGACTGTGACAATGAGCTGACTTGTTAATGAAGTGTGGAATCATCAACTAACATAACATTTGTTAACACCATCCATGGTGAGCTAGAAACATTGACATGATAAATATAGACACACAGTGTGTAATGGTACCGAATTACACAACCTTCACAGGACATCGCCCTTCACCTGTCAATATTATCATTCTTTTCCACGGGTACCATCCGTAAATATAGCAAGAGTGGAACGTGTTAACTTGACACAGTAACATCTGTAAATAAGATGGCCTGAATCTGTAAATATGTTCAATACTTGGGTACCAGTAAATATTAAAAGGGTATAAAATTGCTAAACACTGGTCTGTTAACAAGCTTTCCACAAAGATGTTACAGTGTTATTGTTCCAATTTTCCTACACATATATTAACAGAATATGATAACAGTCATACTATAGAAATATCAGAAGTTCAGAACATTTAAAAATTCAATGATTTGAGATACTAAACCGATTTGTACAAAGCAAAATTCTATCAATCATTAAACGTGACCTATTTATTCAAATATTATGACCACTCACACTGCTTGCCATTTACACCTTTATGCATATGATCATCTTTGACCTGCTCTTTTAAAATGCAGTGTTTGGAGAAATTGTTTTAAGAAAACTTTGGAGAAATTTTTAAACAAAATTTGAATAAATATTTAGCTGAAATTTCAATAAATATTCAGCTGAAATTTGATTATGGATATTAATTTATATGCCATTCATTTTCTACAAAATCATGTTTGGTTTCTTCCATGTCTGCTTTAGCCATATTTAACCATGTGAAGATAAAAATATTTACAAACAGATTTCAAAACTCACCCACGACATTATTAATATCACTTTTAACATGTCAATAAGAATACATTTTCATTTAAATTTTATTGATCTCTTTACAAGTTCAATCTATCCATAGAACATGTGTAGGTAGAGTGAACAATATGTATATATACCAATACATACACTGCAAATACACTTGAACAGAAACTGTGTAGTGCACTCATTGTGAAAATCAACCATAGGTGAGTCACTATAACCTGTGCGACACAGTAAGCTAACAGGAAGGCGCATGGAGGTACACCAAGGGCCGTCTTGAATAATAGTAATTTGAGCAGACTCTATCGATGAGAGTGTTGACATCACAGGTATCCATGAATAGCCCTTTAAGACTAACAATGAGTTCATTCTGCACCCCTCATTAACAATAATCCATCTAACTAAAGATACAGTAAACATTTTAATAAATGACACCCATATATATCTGACTTAGTAAAGGTGAGAAAATCTAAAAGCTACTGTCACAAGCAATAATTTGAAATAAATGAAATGGTTTAATGTCTAACTTTTTTGCTTCAACTGAGCTATTGAAGACAGGAATTTGAATAGTTTCATATAAAAGCTTGTTAACAATCTTTAAAATCTTTCATTTATATTTAGTACATTTGTAATATCATTCGGGACAAGAGTGGAGGCCAGAGGCCCCTGAATCTGGTCTGATAAATGGCCCCCAGGCCCCACTCTAGGGAAGTGGGATTTGAGAGGTGTGGGGTATCTTTCCCTCTTTTGGTGTGAGAAATGATATAAATTCAAGACTAAAAAGATCCCCCAAACTAAATGAGGACATAAACATCTTTAGGGGCCAACGCGCAAACCATAATCTCGCAGACTCCGTCTCAGTCAATTCCTGGAATTATGGAACTTATAAAATAAGGTCTATGGTAAAATGGATTAATGGATGTAGAAGAAGAAATTGACACGTCTTCCCATACAATCTTATACATGTATATACTATCAACATTCAATAATACAATCAGTAATGATTTATAATTGTTCACTGAGAATGGAGAGTCAAGGCATTGACAATGCACAAAAGATCCCTTCAGAATTTGAAGTTGAAGCCAAAGCAAAATTAAACTAAATTAACTAAAACAAAGTGTTGATGAGAAGTTGGACAACCTATTTTATTGTATTTCAAACATTAAAACTTTGTATGGTAATATTAACCTCCAATAACCATATACTTTGAATTTCATGTGCACCAGGTAAGCAGCGGTTGAAAATTGGTGATGTTCTTTATACTTTGTGTCGATCTGTAAATCAGATAGCAACCACTTTCCAGGATGTTATTCGAAATAAAACCTTATAACATTATATCAACGAATTTCATAAGACTGGCATCTTGTATTGTTTTTTCGGGATACTGTGTTTAACTGGTTTCAGGGTAACGACTCCATACTTTATTTTATGTTTGCGGGCAAAAATATGTACTGAAGTTATTACGACTGGTTATATAGACCTGCTTCCTTCTCACATTAATTTGTTGTTTCACAGTAATTGATAATAAGAAAAGTCAAGAAAAAAGCAAATAAACCAATATATATATACCGACAAATTAAACATTCAAATATTTCCCAAAGGGACTGCACCACAAATAATTCTTCAAAACATGCCATTAGCAAATAATTATTTTCAATATTAGGTGATGACATACAAGTGTTGAAAAGTATGAAATTCCTTCAATGTTTAACATTTTAAAACAAACCCCTCTATAACAAAACAATTTTTAAAAGAAATATATTCCACAAAGGCGACAGTCACATACCTATTTATTTCTATGATTTTATAAAGAACCCACAACAACCATAAGAACTGATTGATTGTATGGTTTCACCTATATGGTTTTAAGTTACACCTTGTTTTTAAATTTTTCAACAACCCAACAGTCTATATTGTTAGTATAAATCTATGAACTGATAATATATTGTATTTCATATTTTTCTGTTTTCTTTTTATTTTATGTCTACGTAGGTCTTTTGAATACTGTACTATGTATGCCTACCATCTTACTTGCAAAAATGCCATGGCTAAGGTCACCTTTTTGGTAACTCAAAATAATATGTGACACCTTTTTTTGTTGTAAGCGTTAAACTGTATGTCTTAAGGAAATTTTCTACCCTATCACCACTCATGTGCTATTACCATTGTCTTATCTTACATAATGTCCACAGTCATTCTATTATTTGCCAATTCTTTTCAATCATTGTTTTCAAATTCTAATGATCCATACAAGTGGGTGGTCATTTAAATGTGGCCAGACATTTGACCTCTCTAACAAGCTAGACAAAGGACCCACTAGAGTTCAAATAATAATCAATGTCACCAAGACATGATCATCATATGTACATGTACCAGCAGGATATATACGTAATAAGATTACATTTTATATTATCAAATTTCTCATCATATGGTTACTAGTAGGAACCAAACTATTTATATTATATAGTA